TAATTTTTTCAGCATCCCTATTTATAGGAAAATTTCTTAGACTTATTGACCTCATCTCCACCCTTAATTTAGGTAAAATCTTAGCCCTTAATTAACTTTCCAATCAATTCTTTTTATTTGGCTAAATTTTTAGCCATTTGTTCTTCTTTTTGTTTAATCTCCTTCCATTTAGCTTAATTTTAGCCACAAATTTTACTAGAAGTCAGACTTAATTAATGCTTTACGTCGGCCAAAGTTGGGGGAAAATGATAAATTTTGGTTCTCTAAGTTTCTAGAGTTTTCTAGGGATTATTCTTTCCTAAATCCTCCTTTTATTCAATAAATCATTTATAACCCTTTCTTTTTAGTATTTAGGACTAAAATTTTGATCTTAACATTCTTATATAATTTAATTTGGATTATTAGACTTTTAATTTTATGCAATAGAGTCCCTAATTTTATACAATTTAGTCCTTACTTTTAAAATTCCATTCTGTACTCTTCAAAAATTCAATTTCTTTCCAAAATAAATTCAAAAATTTATTAAGGGAGTTTATTTTAAATTTTCATAATCTTGGTCTTCGTTTAGGCCTTTAAATTAATTATTTAATGTGAAAATTGTACTATTTCTAATGAAAAATATTCCTTATACTTGATAAAATTAATTTAAATTTATTAGGTGCTCCTACACATCCTATATGATTTTTCTATGCTCTTTACAAAAATTCTTCATAGTCTTAAGGTGTCTAATTAAATTCTTTACCTCTAAAAACACTATTCTAACACATAAAAATTTAAATAAAATATTCATAGCACATAATAAAATTCACACAATCACATAAAATAATTCAACACCACTCTAACAATTATCATAAGCAAAGAAAATACTTTTCATGTAGAAACAATATAATTTAAAAAATTTTCATGCAAAACTACTATTCATGCATCGTAAAATCAATTAAATATTCCTTAAGTATAATTTTTTTTAACTATTTTAAATATTTCTTCAAGTTCCTAGTAATTGTTTCTCATCCTCAAAATATTTTTCACATGGGTTAATATTAAATTTCATTAAATTTCTATTTTAGCGGGTATTAGTCATTACAACACTTGTCATGTTAGATACAGAGTGCCATACATAATTTTATGACCGAGAATGAGGTCAAAAGACATAGTTTGGTGTACACTAAGTCATTAAGTAGCACGAAGATGGTGAATGCTTTCCCTAAACCTACTTGTGGCATAGCATATGAGGTAAGCCTTGACATAGTTGCATGGAAGGAGATGCTAGATTTTACAATTGTCATGATGGATGACTTCAAGGTTGTGCTAGGCATGGAGTTCTTCAAATAAGAAAAAGCCATGCCTACACGTCACTTAGAGCAAATGGTGATTATGAAGGAAGAAACGTCATGCGTGGTGCCAACCAAGGTGCATGTTAGATCGAACATGAAACATCTCTCAATTATGCAAGTAAAGAAGGGCTTCAAGAAAGGAAAAGTCACTATTGGGCAACATTGAGAGAAGATGTATTAGTGGATAATGAGGATGTGTAGATACACAAAGAGATTGCCAATGTGTTGGCTGAATTTGATGATGTGATGCCACCGAATTGCCTAAGGAGTTGCTACCTAAAAGAGAGATCGATCACCAAATAGAGTTGGTGTCGGATGCTAAGTCGCCGACCATGACACCTTATCATATGACCCTTTCGAGTTGGAGGAATTGAGGAAGAAATTGAAGGCTATGTGGGAGGCTAGATAAATACAACCCTTCAATTCATCATATGACTCACTCATGTTGTTCCAAAAGAAGCACGATGGATCATTGAGGATGTGTATAAACTATCAAGCATTGAACAAGGTCGGGATAAAAAACAAGTATCCAATTCTATTGATAGCTTATTTATTCAATTAGTTAGAAAAAGCTCGGCTCTACACCAAGCTTGATTTGAGATTGGGTTATTATCAAGTTTGGATTGATATTTAAGATATGCCAAAGGCGACGTACGTGACAAGGTATGACTCCTATGAATTCCTTGTTATGCCATTTGGCTTGACTAATGCCTCGACTACCTTCCGCACTTTAATGAATAAGGTATTTCAGCCATACTTGGATAATTTCTTAGTGGTAGATCTTAATGACATCATGGTTTATAGCTTTATGTTAAAGGAGCATCTAGACTACCTACGTATTGTATTCAAGGTACTAAGAGAGAACGAGTTGTATGTCAAAAGTGAGAAGTGCTCTTTTGCAAAAGAAGAAGTACTCTTCCTAGGGCACAAGATTAAGAGTGGAAGGATAATGATGGATGATGCTTAAGTCAAAGCTATCTTGAAATGGAAAGCGCCAACCAAGGTAACCGAGCTTCGCGCTTTCCTTAGACTAGTCAATTATTATTGTTGTTTCATTTGTGACTACTTAAAAAAGGTGACCTCTCTCATTGACTTGCTAAGCAAAAATAAGAAATGAGAGTGGAGTGAACGAGTACCAAAAAGCTTTCAAGGAGCTAAAACAAACTGTCATCGATGAGTTAGTGTTAAGATTGGTCGATCCAACCAAAACATATGAGGTACTCACTAATACTTCGATTTTGTTATAGGTAGTATGTTGATGTAGGAACAACAATAGCTTACGAGAGTAAAAAACTAAATGACATCGAATGTCAATATTCAGTACAAGAGAAGAAGACGACTATAGTAGTATATTACTTACGTACTTTGAGGTATTACTTGCTAGGGTCTTGCTTTATGGTAATGATAGACAACATAGCTATGAGTTACTTCCAAACTCAAAAGAAGTTAACACCGAAGCAAGCTCAATGGCAAGACTTTCTTATCGAATTTGACTATGTCATTGAGTACAAGCCGGGAAAAACCAATGTGGTGACCGATGCACTTCGTAGAAAGGTTGAGTTACATCATATGACGAAGGTGGATAGGGAGATCATAGCTAGAATTTAGGAAAGAATGGAGCATGATCCCACCGCTAAGAGTTTGTTGGCCCTTGCAAGGGAGGGCAAGACTCGAAAATTTTAAAAAGAGGATGGCATTCTCTACATGAAAAGAAAGAGAATTTATGTGCTTAAGTGGAGAAATCTCTTACGAGATTTGATAAAGGAATGCCATGACTCGATATGAGCTGGATATCCAAGACAACGAGTGCACTAGAGCTTTGCTAGAGGGATCATATTTTTTATCGTAGTTGCACTTAGAGAACATGTCCGGTGTGCCGGTAACACAAGGTTAAAAATTGAGTGCTTGGGAGTCTATTACGGCCTTTACCTATCACGAAGTGACCATGGAAGACAATCACCATGGATTGCATAGTGGCTTTGTTGAAATTGAAAAACTTTGGGAGCATTATCATAGTCGTGGACAAGTTCTCTAAGTATGCCATTTTCATACCAACCCTAACGGATGTGAAAGTCAATAACACCATTAAGCTACTCTTTAAATATGTGATGAAGTATTGAGACATGCCATGATATAAAATCGGTGATTGAGATTCTCGATTCATTAGGAAGCTATGGATAGAGCTATTCGAGTTACTAGAGTCGAAGCCGCATTAATCCATAAGTTTTCACACTCAAACAGATGGATAAGCCGAGAGGGTTAATGCCTCGTTGGAGACATACTTGAGACACTTTATGAGTTCTAACTAATAAGATTAGGCTAAGTTACTAGATGTTACTTAATTCTCTAAAAACTTACAAAAGAGTGAATCTACAAGTAAAAGCCTATTTGAGATTATGACGGGCCAACAACCTTTCACTCCCCATACGATGGTTCTCGGTGACAAGTACCAACAAAGCAACCCGATTGCATATTTATTGGCCAATGAATGGTAAGAGGAGGCGGACTTGACACGAATATATTTGAACAAGGTCGTCAAAAAGATGAAGAAGTGAGTCGACAAAAAATGAAGAGATGTTACCTTTTAACTAAGTGACAAAATGCTAGTGAAATTGCTACTATAGTGACATAAGCCATTTTGAAAAGTGCACAGAGGCCTCATACGACGATATGAAAGACCATTTGAAGTAATGCACAAGATGGGAGAGGTGTCCTATCGCCTAGAGTTACTACCAAAGCTGAAAATCCATTCGAGTGTTCCATTTTAGTATGCTAAAGGCATACTATGTGGACGAGGAGGATCCAAGTCGAGGAGTTTCTTATAAGGTGTCTATAGTAGTGGTTAATTCTTATGACAAAAAAGTTGATGTCATATTTGATGATCGCATAATCGGATGTCATGGAGTGCCACCAAGGAAGGAGTATTATGTGAAATTGAAGGGATTATTAGAAAACGAGGTTAGTTAGAAAATTGTTGAAGCCTTATGGCAATTTCCATGGAAGGTCAAAGAATATAATGAAGGTACGCCGAGGACGTTGCCAAATTAGATGGGGGAGAATGTTACGTCCCGCTTAAAAGAGAGATTTTTCTAGAGGCTATTGGGAATACTAGATAAATCTAAAAGCCTTTAGAAGATTATGGAGCAATAGAGAAGCCTTAAAGATGTCCACGAGAAATCTAGATATATCCTAAAGAATTCTAAAGAGTCCTTCATTATTCTAGCTTATACATATCTAGACAGGTTCTTTGCAAATATCTAGACATATCATAGAGAATATCTAGATAGTTCATTGTAAATATCTAGATAGGATAATTTTAAACAATTGTAGTCATTAGATCAATTGATCCTAGCCATCTATTGAGGAGATGAAAGACTATAAATAAGTGAGGCCTTTATTTGATCAAGATATCCGGACTTTTCGAAATCGAAAGAAGTGTATCTTAGATTTGTAAGCTTTAGAGAGAGTAATACAAATAGTTTATATTTCTCTTGTGTTTGTCTTTCTTGCTTTATAATTTTATGTGAGAAAAAATTGATTTGATTTGATTTAGAAAAGAAACGAGCTAAGCGTAATATGAGAGCTTGAGAAATGTCAATTACGTGATAGTATGATATGTGTAACATTAACAAATCTCGTTCATGTATATGTTTGCAAGGATTTGAGCCTCAGTCTCCTCGAGATTGGAGTTTCCAACATTGGTCTGGTGGGTGTGCTAGAAGGACACCGCTGGATTGTGGTAAAGGGGATGGCTTTTTGAAGCACACAAGAGTGAAATTGTCAGATACGACTTCTGGATTTTATTCCTTGTATATTTATTAGTCCTTCAACTCCGAGCCTGCTTTCTAATTCCAGGCCGTTAATGACGATTATAACGTACTGTTTGGTTCGGTAGGTGCTTTTTCTACGCAAATGTTCCTTGACAAACGTCAAACAAAACAAATTAATGTTCCAGAAGATAAGCTGATTGTGCTGATTTGTTTTTTTTTTTTTTTTTTTTTTAAAAAAATCTTTAGAGGGACGTTGATGTACATGATAGACATCGAAGGATTTTTGGATTCCATGGAGCTATTTGTGGTAGATTTACCTAAAGAATGAAATACCATTTGCTAATTTTTTTTTCTATCTCACATGGATTTTTAAATAAAAAAATGATGACAGTAGCTATTCTTTCTCCTATTTTCATGTGTTTCCTTTATATGGGAAAAAACAAACTCAAACTTTTGAATAAATTTATTCTTTTAATCCTATATCTCTTCTTGTTTTTCTAGGATAAATAAAATACTTAAAATATTTTTTCAATATCCTTTTTCTCGTCACCGAAAAAAGCTTGAGGATAAATAAAAGACTTAAATCTTTTTTCTTGATTTGATTCTAGTATTCTAATTAACAATTTTTTATGTATTCCATTTGGATATCAATAATTGAGAAACATTTACACAAGCAGTTGCAAAGTCAAACTTGTAGAAACTTAGAGAAATTTAGCTAACTACTTTTTCCCTCTTTTCTTGTGTTCGGAGAATTTTGGGACCAAAAGAGGCTCCAATGAACAGAAGCAAGTAGGAATCATACTTGGCTCCATGATTTTTGTCATAGCAATACTTGCAATTGGATTAATCTTGTATATGGAGAGAAAGAAAGGCAACTTAGTTGTGGGGTGTTATCTCATTTGTTACATGTGAAATACACTAAATATTATTATAAATTTACTATGCATATGAAAAGGGGTATAAATATGAGTTGATTAAACATTTATGATTAATTTACGAGACCAAATTACAAATGAATTGATTAATATTTGAGATTTCATTTATTTTATAGAGGATAAGACAATTAATGTTATCTTAGACTATGTTTAATTTTTTATTAATAATAATTTTTATTGAATATTTATTTATTTATATGTATAAACATATTTATGTATATATTCTTAAAAATATCATATTATAATTATAAGATTAAAATTATCATGTATACATATTCAACAATAATACTTATCAAACAATCTTATTATATTTAATACATAATTTTTAATAAATACTAAATAATTTATTAGACACATATTCAACATTTAATTATTTAAAATTTAAAATTTAACATTTAACATTTAACATATTCAACTTTTAATTTTTAATTTCATCAAATATGATCTTAGTTTCTCGATTTTCATTGAGGGTTACGTCTTGGTTTTCCTTCAAACCGCACACCATGCGGTAATTCTTAAATTGTTAAAGGATATACTTTATGTGTCTGAGTGAAGGACCATGTGACAACAACTGATGCTTTATGTGTATGTCCTTGGAAACCACCGCTAGCCTTTATCAAATATTTTTTATTAGCCACTTTTATTTAGTGCTTCTTTCTTTCTCGAAAGAATACCCATCATGCTTCTTGCTCTTTCCAAATTGTTGCTACTACGAAGCATTCCGTTCTATTTCCAATCTCACCAAGACGCCAACCTCATAAAAATTATAGCATTTGCCTAAGCATAAACCCCCTTTGACCTCCCCCAATTAACATGGGCTATCTTCTTGAGTTTTTCTCTGCTTTTATCTTTCTCTCAATAATCCCAGTCTCAAGCCAGCTGAATGAATTCTTCTTTTCTGGATTCAAAGATGCTGGCACCAACATAACCTTAAGTGGGGTTGCAGAGATTCAACGCAACGGTATGCTTCGGTTAACCAATGAAACCAGTAGATTACTGGGTCATGCTTTTTATCCTTCTTCATTTAAGTTCAAGAACTCCAGTAATGGCAAAGCTTCGTCGTTTTCGACCTCTTTCACGTTCATTATAGTTCCTGAGTATCCCAAGCTCGGAGGTCATGGCCTGGCTTTCACAATCGCAACTACAAAGGATCTAAAGGCTCTTCCAAGTCAGTATCTTGGCATACTCAACTCAAGTGTGGTTAACTTGACAAATCACCTTTTTGCCGTTGAATTTGATACGGTTCAAGATTTTGAGTTTGGGGACATCAATGACAACCATATTGGTATTGACATCAACAGCTTGAAGTCTAAAGCATCTGCTGCTGCTGCCTATTACACTGGTGATTCTGTTTCTTCAAAGCAAGATTTAAACCTTAAGGGTGGGAAGCCAATCCAAGTTTGGATCGACTACGATTCAGTTCAAAATGTTGTCAATGTAATTATTTCGCCAACTTCCAAGAAACCCAAAGTTCCAATCTTGTCTTACCACGTAGATCTGTCTCCACTGTTTGAAGAATATATGTATGTGGGCTTGTCTGCTTCAACAGGTTTGCTTGCTAGTTCACACTATATGTTGGGTTGGAGCTTTAAGTTAAATGGCCCAGCTACAGCTCTGGATCTTTCTTCTTTACCTTCATTTCCAGCTTCTCACAAGAAGCAGCATACAGGTTTAATAATAGGTATCTCAGCTGCAATTGTTGTTCTTGTTATCATATCAGTATCAACTGCTGTTTATCTGATCAGAAAAATCAAGAATGCCGACATAATTGAAGATTGGGAGCTGGAAATGGGGCCGCATCGATATTCCTATCAGGAACTCAAGAAGGCGACCAATAGTTTCAGTGACAAGGAGCTACTTGGAAAAGGCGGTTTTGGCCAAGTTTACAAGGGGACATTACCTGATTCAAAGAGTGTAGTTGCGGTGAAGCGAATTTCGAAAGACTCAACACAAGGGTTGCAGGAGTTTGTATCAGAAATTGCTAGTATTGGTCGGCTTCGCCATCGAAATTTGGTTCAATTATCAGGTTGGTGTCGGAGAAGAGATGATTTCCTTCTTGTTTATGATTATATGGCTAATGGTAGTTTAGATAAGTTCTTGTTTGATGAGCCAAAAATTATCTTAAATTGGGAGCGGAGGTTTAAGATCATAAAGGATGTTGCTTCTGGGCTTCTTTATTTACATGAAGGTTACGAGCAAGTGGTGATTCACAGAGATGTTAAGGCCAGCAATGTTTTGCTAGATGGTGAGCTAAATGGTAGGCTTGGTGATTTTGGTCTTGCAAGATTATACGAACACGGAGCGAACCCAAATACAACCCGGGTTGTGGGTACATTAGGTTATCTAGCCCCAGAATTGCCAAGAACAGGAAAGGCCACAGCAAGCTCAGATGTGTATGCATATGGTGCACTTTTGCTTGAGGTTGTGTTTGGGCGTAGGCCTATTGAACCCGAGGCATTGCCTGAAGAATTGGTGCTGGTGGATTGGGTGTGGGAAAAGTTTAGACAAGGGAACGCCCTGGATGTGGTGGATCCTAATCTAAATGGTGAGTATAATGAGAGGGAGGTGATGATGGTGATCAAATTGGGAATAATGTGTTCCCATAATGCCCCAATGGCAAGGCCTAGCATGAGGCAAGTAGTGAGGTATTTGGATGAGGAAGTAGGGATACCTCAAAATTTGAGGGATCCATGTGGTGCATATGATGCAGTGAAGGGTATGAGCGAGGGGTTTGATGAGTTTGCACACTCCTTTGCATCTTCTTCATTTGATAAAATGAGCACATATTCGTTCATGGAAAACGGGGATGGCGGTACTAGTTTTGCCTCACTTTCTACTTCCCCACTTTCACTTCTCCGTGTCAGGGGGAGACTAGGTAGTGATTGACAAGAAAAGTTTTTCTCTCTCATTGCTCTCCCCATTTTGATTGGTATATTTCTCTGTGAAAAGATTGCTGAGAGAAAAGAGGCTGACAAATCATTTCTATTACCATAACTCATTTCAATGTCAAAGTTCCCAAGTTACATGATAACTATATGTCGTTCCAAAGTTGTACAGCCGTAACGAGTATTAATCGTGTCTCTGTATGAAAAATTATCCAGTCTACTTGGTGGGAAAAAAAAAAAGAAGGTTTTTCCATCTCTAGGTTTTTTTTTTTTTTTAATCCATATACCGTGGATTCTGCTTCTTTATATTTGTTTGGAAGTACAGAATTATTGACTTGGGATGCTCAAATACAAAATGTTGCTCTTAAGGTAATATTGGGCTTTGAATGACAGTGGGCACCATTCAAGTGAATTTCAGGTTCTCTATAAGTGCCTGCTAGGAAGTTGGGACACATTCTGATGCTTACACTCTGAAAAATCCCTCCTCTATGACAACATTGGATTTCACTCACTCACAAAAGTTAGTCAAATTCCTTTATTTCTTTCCCATTTTATTTCGGTTTTTCCAAGCGAGCTCAGTTTAGTGTCCCAGAGACCCTGAAACTTGAGAAACAAGGCTTCCTTCTTCCAATCGTTGAACAATTATGACGTCAATTTTGGACAAGCCATAGTGATCTCAATGACATGAAAAAAGGAAATACCATTACATTCACCATCATTTGCGTATCAATTGCAGACAAAACGGAAATCATATAGCCAATTCATGGTCTCATAGATTCAGTACATTCTCAAACACAGGCAAAATTAGCCAGTTCTAGGAGCTCTCTCAATTTTACCCAACGAGTCAATATGTAACCTTACTCTATTCTGTCGAAAATCCATGGTAACAAGGCAATCAGGTTGAACAACTTGAATTTGAGCACCTTGTTTCTCCTCCTTGATCCTTCTTTCAGCTTCTTCCGCTGTTAGCCCAACTAACTCGGGCCATGTTGTTTTTGCAGCAGGATTTGGTTCCATCCCGTACATTCCTACACGTAAACTAGATGTCAACTTGCCATTATCGTTAGCAAAACTAAGGACATACTACTAAAAAACCTATGTTTAAGTTCTCCTAATGATTTTGAATTACTGTTAGAATCTTAGGCATATCTTTCCTTCCCCCTTCCTTCATTTTCTAGTAAAACTATATATTTGTTAAATTCACGATCTGAAAGCTTAGATCATATAGAATGAAGAGTCTATAGCATAAAACTAATCGAAATCCTTGATAGAATAATATTTTAGGATCTCTGCATACTTACTTGGCAAGGTTGGTATTGCTTCAGCTGGTGTTTCTTCAGGGGACTTGCTCTGTTGATTTTCTTCAGTCATAGCCAAGCTCTAAATTGGACACCTAGTTTCCTTGTGTTTCAGAGACAAATGATGAGTGCCCATGAAATGAGAATAACATTCCAATTTATAGGTCACACCACAATACTATTTTACTTTCTAAATGCAATTGAATCCTCGGTATTGCCGACTTAAAAGTTGAACAGAAGAATAAGAACAAACACAGGCACCATATAAATAATATTTCTCCCATTTGGCGTTTCATTCTTAGCCGGCCAAACTAAGTCCAAAACATTTGTAACAACAACGACAACAACAATAATAATAAATAAATAAATACAAAAAGGGGATAGAAGAGGAAACTACAATTCTCCCAACTATATAAGTTATCTTATGTTAGTCTTCAACTAGTTTTTTGGCATGTGTTACACTGAGAGTTAGATAAAATATATAAAATTGTTTAAAAAAATCATTTTAGTTTGATAGTCTTTTTTATGGAGTGAATCTATAAAAATATATGAAATCAATGATGAAAAAATTATTTATAATTTTTTAATAAAAAATTTTATATTTAACTATTTCTTATTTTTGTGTTTCATAATTTTTCCTTCGAGAAAAAGATTTATCTTTGTTAATCCATGAATTATTAAATAAAAAGAAAATCAAATAATTTTTTTTAAAAGCTTTAGTATTTCATAAGATTGTGTCGAAAAACACAAATAACAATTGTTATAAGCTTACATAGAATTGAACAATTTTTTTTTATTTAATGCTCATGAGAATATTGATTTTTGAAAAAAAATGTGAATTTAATTTTTATGTATTTATTTACAAAAGAATGAATAATATTAAAATAAAAAACTATATTAATTTGAATCATTGAGTGGTTAAGCCAAAGTATAATTTTAGTTATTTAATTTAAAATAAGTTAATTTTAAAATATTCAAAAATAAATAAATTAATAATAAATGCTTAGTGTAGTAGTAGTTGCACGATTAATTTCGAAAAAAACAACGATTTAATATTTTTTTATACATCATAACTATACTAAGTGAGTTTAGGGCTTTTAGTCTAAAACAAAAAATACTATATAAAAAAATTTACTTGCAAGGAATCTATTGACTAAATTTGAAGTCAATAGACAAAAATAAAAATTATTACAAAATTGATTTTGATTAATTTTGATTATATAAATAAGAAAAAAATTAATAATATATGTGAATTCTTTTTCTTTTTTTTTCCTCCTTAAATATTTTTTTTATTTCTATGCTATGCATGGCTATTTCTTGAATACGAGCCTTATGCGCAGAGCAACTATCTTCTTTTTATTTTTCACATTTGACTTTCAAATATTAATTAATTAATTTGAGTTTTTTTCTTAAAAAAACCAAAAAAATTATTTGAAGTACACTTTTAATCTAAAAATGTATTTTAGATAAATTACACACACACACACACACGTATATATATATATCATGCCACAATAATTTTAAAGTTATCTAAATCTATTTTTCAAAAAAATAATAATAATCATGTTCTAAATATTTAGTCCAAAATCCATACATATAGAAAAATAAATCAAAACTATTAGTAAATATCATTTTAAATTAATTGGATGAGAATTTATAAAAAATGACAAATTATAGTAGTAAATTTTAAATAATAAAAATAATTAACAAAAAGAACTAAAACAAGATGGGATCAAATCACAATATAATTAAATTTTGAAATTAAAAAAAAAGATAAATTAATTTAGTAAATTTTAAATAATATAAAAAACCAAAAAACATTATTTAAAATACACTTTTAGTCTAAAAATGTATTTCGATACAAATATATATATATATATATATATATATATATATATATATATATATCATGCCACTATAATTTAAAAATTATCTAAATCTATTTTTCAAAAGAAAAATAATCATATTCTAAAAATTTATTTTAAAATCCATATATATATATATATATATATATATATATATATAAAATGTCAAGTAAATATAATTTTAAATTAATTGGATGAGAATTTATTAAAATGACAAATGAAAGTAGTAAATTTTAAATAATAAAAATAATTAACAAAAAACACTAAAGCAAAATAGGATCAAATCACAATATATTTAAAGTTTGAAATTGAGGAAAAAACAGGAGAATTTAAAAAATAAAAAATTAAAGTAGTAAATTTTAAATAATAAAAATAATTAACAAAAATAAAATAGGATCAAATCACAATACAATTAAAGTTTGAAATTAAAAAAAAAAGTATGCAAAAAACTCGATGACCAAAGTGTTACAAAAATGATATGAATAGTGAAAGGAATAGTGATTGTGAGTGTGTGAACAATATTTTAAATATCGAATGAATAGTGAATAATGGTTTTACGTTAGTTTAATTGATAATGTTTGAAATTGATCAACGTAACCCTAAACTATCTATCATTATCCATTTTGGCTCCCTAATCAGCACGCATTGAAGCAATCAACAAAACTAGACTATTATGCATGTCTTTCGTGGATTAAGGTGGTTCAAAATCCTATGTAAAGAAAATATCTTGGCTTATAATTCTTATGAAAAGGCTAAGTTCGGAATTAGTCGCTATCTAGTTCGAAATTATTTTGAATTTCCAAGCATAGAATTTAGAGTCTCATCTAGATGAGTCTTATTCAAGAGTAAAGTTTATAAGATAGGATTATTAGTCGTCATACTTATCTTTTTGCATGTATATTTAGTCTCTAAGACTACTTTAAGGGTTTACGCATTCGGAGATATGCTTTCTTAATTCAATTCAAAGGGTTTCAAATACAATGTTTGACTAAGCTTTCTTAATTCAATTCAAAGGGTTTCAACTTTAATTCAAAAAAATTATGAGACATGATTTTGATATTTAAACTATTCTTTATGAGATACGAGTTGATCTTTAAACTATTCTTGATAATTTGAATATCTTTTGGTTCTCCGAACCTAAGTAATTTATCTTTAAATTTAATTAATTATGATCACATAAATAATTGTCTAAGGGATCCATTAGTTGAATGTCTATTGTGATTAATAGTTAGCTAATTTTCTTAATCCATAATTGTTATCAAAATTTAGTACAAGTAGTAAATTAGGTTTTCATGATTATTGTCATGGGGGCGACTTCGGTGGGTTTCGAGGCAATGTGATGGGCTATTCGGAGAAAGGATATGGAATTAAAAAAAGAGTCACCACCTAGCATCGAGGGAGTTAAAAAACTCTAAAATGATTGGTTTATATAAATATCTAGGTAAGAGGTCGGTTGCTAGTGAGAAAGATCAACATCACCACCATGTTCTACCTAAGGTAGACTATATTGTATGTATATGAAAACTAAAGTATAGCCTTACTATGTTATAAACCTATCCTTAAATGAATTTATGTTTTTGGGATAAATTGGTCAAGTAATTTGAGGTTCGGGCTAGTCAAAGGCCTATACCCATACTCGTAAAGGCAAAATGAGATAGAAATTGAAACTTTGGCTATACCCAAGCAACTTCAAATTTATATCAATAAATAAGCAAGTCCTTAGGAATTACGAGCCCATATTGATATAAATGAGAAATCATTAATGATTTCATTTCAAATAATGATAAGGCCACTAATGACTTCTTCCATGTAAATGGAAAGCCACCACGACTTTATCCACATAAGTGAAAAGTCATCGATGACTTTGATTCACAAAATCAAAAGCCACCGATGACTTTGTCCATATAAAAGGGAAGCCACCGATAACTTCGATTAACAAAAATAAGAAGCTATTATTGACTTCGTCCATACCAATAGAAAGCCACCAACAACTTTGATTAACAAAAATAAAAAGCCACCGTCGACTTTATCCATATAAATAAAAAGCCACCGACAACTTTGATTAACAAGATTAGGAAGCTAGAGATAATTTTTTCCATCCAATGGGAAGTCATTGACACCTTCGATTAATAAAAATGAAAAGCCATCATCGACTTCATCCATCGAAATGAAAAGCCCCCGATGAATTTGGTTTACAAACAAACATGGAAATAATTAGGACATTGTCGACCACTTTGTTCACATAGATAGAAAGCCACCGATAACTTTGGTTCACTTCAACATAAACAAATATGGTAATAAATCAGGAAGTTACTAAATACTTCAATTTAATTCAACACTAACAAGAATGGTAATAATTGAGAAGCCATAGATGACTTTGTCCATACAAATAGAAAGTCGCTACCAACTTTGATTCACAAGATAGGAAATAAACATGGCAATAATTGAAAAATCATCGATGACTTCATTCACATAAATGAGAAGTCATCATTGACTTTTGTTGAATTCAACACTAACAAGAATGACAATAATCAAAAAGGTACTAATGACTTCATCCATATAAATAGAAAGCCACCGATGATTTTAGTTCACAAGATTGGAAACAAACATGGCAATAATTAGACAACCACTAGTGACTTCATCCATACAAATAGAAAGCCACCACCAATTTTAGTTTAATTCAACACTAAGAATAATGGCAATAATCAAGAATTCACCGATGACTTCGTCCATACAAATGAGAAGTCGTTGATGATTTTGGTTCTCAAAATTAAAAGCAAACATAGAAATAACTAAAAAGCCACCGACGATTTCGTTTACATCAATAGGAAGATGTCGTCAACTTTGATTCACATCATTAGGATAAAAAGATATGGCATGAACATCAAATATAGCATGAACAATAATATTTAAATCCAACCACATCATAAGAGAAAAATCATTCTCAAATACACACAATGAACCGGCGCTTGTCCCGAATAAACTATTGCAATTTAAAACCCATAACCAATCCTCCCAGCTCCATCATTAAGCATTAATCACCAACCTTATTACTTCTCAAAACACTTAGGACATTCGATCCTTTCATGTTCGACACAAAAAAATATTTCTAAATACACTTCAAAGCTTATAATGCCTTAAAACATCGCATTCATCCATAATATCAATTTAAATATGGTATGTAGAAAGTTGTTGACTTACCTTATAG